TTTAACTAGATATGTATAAAAGTCCTATAAATATGAAGAGACCAATGCATTAGTTAATAGGGAATAGTTGTCTTCCCTTTCCATCCCATTGTTTTTGCTCTCTGTCTTAGGCTCTGCAATAACTAGAGCAAAGTACCCACTAGGCCGAATATATCATTGGCAAATCATCAAAAGGGCACACTCCATCTCCATTAACAGTTGGGGGAGAGAAATTTTATATTGGGCCTTAGATTGAAGTAAAAGGCACTATATTGCACAGAAGTTATTATGAGGAATGCTTAATAAATATGGACTTTGACAACCAAGCTAAAGTCTCATCAATTAAGTTTGGCATTCATTAGTCAAGAAGAAGTCCAATCAGATTTCATAGACCGTGTTTCTATAAATTGTGAACGGTTTGTTCTGACATTTGATGAATTATTCTTCATAATCCACTATCTGCTATGATAAATCTAATCTTTCATCTTCTGCTGTCTTAATAACTCCTAGAGCAATTCAGCTCTTGATTTCTGAACACAGAATGCATAAATTGATGTAGGAAAGAAAAAAAATGTATTTGCTTTCCAAATGTAAAGTAGCTCTTTTTTTGAGTTAAATATTTCATTGACCTTAGACTTTTAGGTCTTGTAAAAGCTAATGAAGTATGGGACTTTCATTTCAATGATTCAGCATCTTATTTAATTTTAAAAATAGTTGGGGCAGGATGCAATAAGGTGGTGGATAATGGATTTGTTACAACAGGATTTTTAAGAAGCTTTCTGAATATTGGTTTAACAACATACAGCTTCCTTTCTCCAAGTCAGACAAGGCAAAGAATTTTCTGGCCCCAGAAAAACCAACAAATTGACTAATAATATCATGTTTTGTGGACCAGACATCACAAAATGAAAACCTATGCTGTATACTGGAGATTTCAAACTTTGTCAGGATATGGACCTTAAGTTTCTAAAAAACAACTCTGGATCAAGAGGCAGAGAGAGCTATCAGGCAGAAATATTTTATTAGGTAAAAATTGTGTCCTTCATTTCTACTTTGCTGCCACTGTCACCTGTCAAAAACTGTCTTGGTTATCAGGAGCACTAAAATCTGGGAAGGGGGGCGTCTGAAGGCCAGCTGACAAGTCAGGCCTTTCTCACTGTAAATATAATTCCTGTATTTGAGTGAACCTCCCCACTGTAAGGTTTTATTTAAAATGTTCTGCTGTATTATGACTTTAATATGCCACAAGACTGTTGTTTTTGCTATGAGATAGATGTAGCTTCCCTTCTAGAGCAATTGCCTCATGACCGATCTATTGCCACTGGCAGTGGCTTTGCTTGGTTTCCGGCCACGTTTCCTTCCCATCACTTGCTACCTGATCTTTTTAACTAGAGGTGACAGGTATTGTAGCTGCATCTTTTTTAGGCAAAGTATATCAGTGCCATTGACTTACTGTCTGTTCTCATCCTCATAAAATGTCTAAATATATGCATGTCTAAAGCAAAGAGTTTTACTGATTCAAATTTCAGTCCAATATGTATTACCACTCTCATCGTGATTATTATAAAAATTATTTCTATCTTTACATATATTATTTGCATGATTAAAAATCAGCCCCAGCAGTGAAAAATGTTATAATGTAAATTATCTGGCTGTGCAGAATGAATTTCAATATTAAATGAGGTAAATGTTTCCACACATCTCAACAGCTTAAAACCAACCTGGCACTCTACAATAAGGGCTCATATTTGGGCTCATGCATGGCCATAAATAGCAGCAAAGACTTAAAATTAACTGCATTTCTTTCCCATCTTCTAGTGGTCATGCAGACTTTTGCAACCCAGATATAATAGCCTAGGGCAGATAAATAGTTGCTTGGCTAAAGGCCAGTTATAATTAGGTGATGCTATGGAGTTTTAGACCCAACACTCATAAGGCTTAGCAGTGACATGTAGGCAGATATAGTATGGATGTTGGAATGTGACATAGCTCAAAGATGCAGCTTAATGGGTGCGAAATCAGTCCTTTTAGCAATAAATCTCATTTAGCATGTATTTAGCTCAAATAGTTATGAGCTTTGGATTTTGAAGACTACATTTCCCAATGGCCTTTCTTATCACCGAGTGACATACTATAAAGAAAAGTATTGGTTTCCTAAAGGATTTTTCAAAGACTGATCGGGATCACTAAGCCATAGTTAGTTTTGTATTAGTTGATCTAAATACTGTAATTGCCATAGGATCTATATTTCTACCAGGCTTGGAAGAACTGCCATACTGTGTACACTAACTATGTGGGTAGGATATGATACCATGTTAGATTAAAGTATGTAGATTACTTTGTGGCTTAGTATATCTATCATGCTAAGCTGCACGATATAAAAAATAACAACTCTATTCAAATATAGTTGTTTTAGTGATAGTAATTTCTCCAAGCCATCTGACCTGTGACTAAACATTAACTTAATAGAGTGGGGAACAAAAAATGTAATCTTAATATCTTGAGAAATATATGAAAGGAAGACAATTTTTCTTGCAGCAAGGATGTCAAAAGGATGAATCATGCATCCATTGTAATTATGAAAAAAAATGTAACTAGTTCTTTTCAAATGCAGTTGTTCTATTTAATTGATTTTGCTGGCAGAAAAATAAAATAAATAAATAAAAATTAAAAGATGCCCTCCCTGTGACTGACTGGAGGCAGCTGAGACTCCATGGGAATCTAATTGCTGCAAATGTGCCAGTTAGCTGCTGGTAATATTTATTGTGGAAGCAATGGAGAAGGGGGTGGCCGAGCTAAGAAGTGGTGTGTCTGTGTGTTTGCCGGGAGGGAGGGAGGGAGGGAGGGAGGGAAAGCTGCTGTCAGCAGCTGTATGTAGGCTTGGGTTGCTTCTTTTTCTCCCTTTCATCAACACAAAAGGTTTCTGTTGGATGCTTTGCATGTAGGCTGCTTAAAAGTGTTTTATTCATATTTAATTGCTGGCTTGCTACAGTTCTCTTCTTTAATTACTGTGTTAAAAAGTAGGCTATAAAATGCACTCACACTCAATTTGTTTTCTTTTAATTTCTGCATATATAATGTACTCCTTGACTGTTAGCTCTGTTATATGAGTTTAAATGTGTCTATGTCTATGTATATATGTATGCGTGCATATGAGATAAATAGGGGAAAAGAAAAGAACCTTCTTTCTTTCAAATCTGCTACCACAGTTTTAAACAAGCTTGGCCAAACCTCAGCGGATTCAAGATAGCTTTGAAGCCAATCCAATTTTAAGGTTGAACCTTCAATGGAAAATTCCTGTATTTTCTCTCCATGCTCTCTGGTTAGTCCAATTCTCACATGCACTTGTTTGGTTAATCCTCTTCTTAGGAGTCCCCTAACTGAACAGTAACAAATCTAGACAATTTCTGGATGGCAGAAACGAGTTTAGATTTGCTTCCATTTCATGGTCATCCAAATATTTGCAGCCCAGATCTGGCCAGTCTGGGCTGCAAATATTTGGCTTTCCGTCTGTTTGGCTTTTCACTGTCTGCTACATCTTTCGTTGAAAGGAATTTCAATTAACACAGAACTATGACTATATGCAATAGTTGAATCTGTTATGCTTGATTAGGGTCAGATGAATCACCAAACTAACCGTAATTATTAAATAAAACAAAAATTGGTTAGGTTCACACTGTACATTGGTCAAAGTCAGCCACACAATGACTTAGCACAATGTGTGAGTTCAGCCATTATCCAAATAAAGGCATATTCTGCTCTCATAAAGTGCACTAAGCCATCATGTGACCTTCTTAGTTCTTGCTCAGTGTGAGCCCCACCAGTTAAACTGCTATGTCCCTTAACACTTATTTAGCAAATTATGATTTAAAAATATTGGTTTATTGTTATATATGAACACAGTCAATTAGTGAAAAGCCAAATACCCTGCTAAAGCAAGAATAGCATTGTTGGATCATACCTGTATTTGGTTTTTATAACAACCAAATAAATACATATGGAAAAGTCACAAGCAGGGCATATCTATTTTGTTTATTTCTTTTTAGAATTGTTTATTGGTGTCTACGAGGACAGTGTGCAAGAAACTTACATATTAAAACAATACCATCTATCCTAGCCACATTAGAAAGCACTACATGTTTCTAAATTTAAATTAACAATGTGTCTTTTATATTTCTTTGGAAAGCAGAGAACACAGTCAATTTTCAGACGTATAGAGGCATATCAGTGGCTAGTTGCATTCTCTGTGAATCTATCTTCTTTTTAAACTTTCTCTTAGAGCTTTGCACATTATTTTAACTAGCAAAACACACACAATATTAGTGTTAACAGTCATTCTAGCAGCACAAAGTGCGATTAAAAAGAAAACTGAATGATATAACTATGAATTTCAGTCCGCTGATTAAGGACCATTTTATGATAAACCTGGTTGGTTGTTGCCTAATGGAAGAGATTATCCTTACTAGTCAAGGTTCATCTGGTATCTGAAATGATAATGTTCTAAAACAGTTAGAAAATACTTCCATTCTCCATGGCTAAAGTGTCTGATCTCAGAGTGGACCTTGCTGGGTAAAAGAGCAACAGAGAAATGTTATTGTAGAAAGTAAAATTAATTTAACGGGTTAAATCTTGTTTTCATGGTGTAAATAAGAATGAAGTGCTTGTAATATTATTTATGTTGTGCAGTTCACCAGTGCTAGAATGTGTACGTCATACTAAAAACTCTTCAGTGTATAGCTACTTTCAGTTACTGATGAGCAAGTTGAATGTAAAAATTATTTAATTAAACAGCCAAGCTTCTTCTTAATTATGGTTCAGTGTATGAAGAAACTACATGGTTTGGAGGGTTTTTTGTATGAATTCTTCAGTTTTCTCAGTTACACTGTTTTTTTAAATAAATATTACAATAGTATGTTATATTGCTGTATTTTATTCTTGTTTATTGCAGAAGTTCAAGGGCTAAAATACTGGGCAAGCCAAGCATCAGCCAATCTGAGATACCGTATCTCTTCTCCTTACAGATCAATGAATTGTTTGCTAGTTTTGAAGATGTTCCATTAGGGGCAGCATCGTTGGCTCAAGTCCATAAGGCTGTGCTACAAGATGGGAGGACAGTTGCTGTGAAAGTTCAACATCCTAAGGTCCAAGCACAGAGTTCTAAGGATATTCTACTGATGGAGGTAAATTAGTAGCTTTCTGTGACCACCTTAACTATGCTTTTCTGTTATTATGATTATTTTATTTCAGTGAAGATGTCTTTAGCTTCTTAAAATGTCTCAAAAAATAAACTGCATATTTTTCAACTGGTATCTGAAAGAGAAGTAGTGTATACTGTGTGTGTATAATCAAAATACAGAATAGAGATGGTTTACATTTTCAAGCTCTATGACTGCATAACTTTTATCTGAGCATTTTATTTAAACCATAAGCAGACAACCAATAGCCAGCAGATTAAGAGACTTTCTGTAAATTTTTAACCGCTCTACAATGGCCTCTGATTTATCACTGCTACCATTGGCTTTTTAATACTGTATCCCAGTTTGCTTTGATCTTCTAACTTGCTGGTCTTCTCATTATTCCCCATGTTTTTCAATTTCTATTGCCTTCTATTTCTACATATGGCAATGGTTCTGAAAAAATTGTACACATCATGTTTAACACAATCAGAACACATATATCTACCACAAAGGCAGTTTCACACAGCATGCTAAATTGTTTTGCGTTTTCTTTCTTTGGGCTCAGTATGTGAACCTGTTCAGTTTGGTTTACAAGTCATAAGTTTTCGCTTGGTTGTTGTTCTTGGTGGCACACTGGTTAGAATGCAGTATTGCAGACTAACTCTGCCCCTAGCCAGGAGTTTGATCCTCACTGGCTCAAGGTTGACTCAGCCTTCTATCCTTCCGAGGTCGGTAAAATGAGGGTCCAGATTGTTGGGCGCAATATGCTGACTCTGTAAACTGCTTAGAGAGGGCCATAAAGCCCTACAAAGCGGTTTACAAGTTTAAGTGCTATTGCTATTGCGTCAACTCACCAAAGGTGATTTATTTGATTATGTTGAGACATATTTAGCACCATTATTATATATCACATGTTATGCAATGACTGAAAAAGTCAGTTCTGGAGACTGTTAAGCAAGAATATGGACCTTTCTTTTCTTCAATTTGATATCAGCCAAACTGGGATCCTGGTAAGGGAGACCAAGATTGTAGATAGTACACATATTTACCTTGACAATTGTGTTCTTTTTAGCCCTGCATTGTCAATACATCAGAATTTTTGTGAACCGAAACAGGAAAGCTAAGTTTCTTCCAGTTTCTCTATAAAAGTTTCAGTAATGCAAATTATAGTGATTTCTTCACCATATGACCACGTTTGAGGAAATATGCTTTAAATGTGCATTGTTCTCATCTATTTCCCATCCCATTTCTCTTTTTCCAAGATGGGTGTTTCCATAGTAAAGCATCCATTCTGATGAGGTGCTGCTTTTTCAGTTTCCAGGATCAGGGTTTAAAGTAGCAATTTTATGCAACTGTTCCATGCTATAGTTAATCTGATCTTGGATATATTTACTCTGATTGTTTTGCAAAGCCCCCCTGCAAAACTAATTAGTAGCTTCTTTCTCTTACCTTCTGTTAATGGTTTTTATTCAGCAAGATACTATTATTACTAATGTATGTTTCTTTCTTGCCCACTAATTAGCCAGTTTCCTATATTATTTTCCTCTTTTTCTTTGCTCCTTTTCTTTCAATAAACAGTTAGATTTCATTGTTGGCTTTAAAAGAGGAATTGGATAACTTCATGGAACACAGGTATATGAAGGACTATTATTTTTTGGTTTTTCCGGTTTGTTGGCTTCACGAGCGGTAGGGATTCGCGAAGCTGCGCGATCCCTGCCGCGCTAGCCGTTTTGGGGCTCCGATCCGGACGGGTGCGGAGCAAGGCTGCCCTGCAGGGGTAGCTGAAGGTAAGGGGGATCCGGAGGAAGGGTCTGGGGGTGTTGCAGACCCCCTCCCTGGCCGGCAGAACCCCCTTTTACCAGGACGGTGCAGCGGCGGTCCGTAATGGCCGCCACAAAGAAGTCGGCAGCCGGGCAAGTATGCGCAGGAGGAAGAAGAGAAAGTTATTGAAAGTGAAAGTTCTTCTTGGTTGACCCAGGGCTTCTGAGATTTATCTAATTTAATTCCTGGAAAAGATGGTTTTTTGATTATTTTTTCCACAAGAGAAAAAAAGCGGCTATTTTGAGGTGCTGAAAGGAAAGTTTACTCTCCCTCCCGACGGAATTAAGCCGGAAGGGAGAGGATAAAGAAAATATATAAATCTGGATCTTGTTGGAGGAGATGCCTTGAAGATTTGAGGACAGAAACATAATTTTAATAAGGCTTTAAAATATAGATTTGGACTCTTTTTTTATTTGTTTGATACCACCCCTGGAAGAGGAAGGGGGAATTTTGGCTTGCTTGGATTTATTGAGGATTGTGGATTTTGGGATTGTTTTACCTTTCTCTCGGAATATTTGGTTGGTGTAAGAAGAAAGAGGAATAAAGAAAAGAAAAGATTTATTTATAATGGCTTTCCCTTTTGAAGACCTGAGGGATGAATATGAGCAAACAAAAGCAGCCTGCAAAGATGGTATGGAAAAAGCTTTTCTATTTCTAGAAATGGCGCTGGTCAATTACCAACAGACAATGAAACAGATGGAAACAGAAGAACAACAACAAGGAAAAGACGAAGACGCCATCTTTATTGAATCCCAAAACTTATCTAAGGAAGAAGGAAGGAAGAGAGCAAGGAAAATGAAGGACTTAAGATCTAAAAAAACATTTGAGAAAGAGAAAAATATGATGCAAAGTAAATATAATGATAGCAAACAAGAGAAAAAGGGAACACAACAGAGAAGGGATCCCAGCAAGGCAGAGGTTAGAAGAAGAAGGGGGGGTAGGAAGATTTGGTGGGGGAAGAAAGAAAGGGGAAAGGCGGAGAAAAGCCTCAAAGTTTTAAAATTGGATGGGAGAAGAGGAATTTTTTTTAGGGACAAAGGATGAAATATAAACTTCTGTAAGAAAGATTCTGCTAGGTACAGAAGATGGTATTGTAACATTTATATTTGAAATAGTAAATTAGAATGGTTTAAGATTTAATAAGAAATTAAAATGTTGAAGTCTTTAATAATGATTGATTTTTAAAATGTAATAAAATATTGAAGGAAAGGAGGATACAATGTATTTAAACATTTTTGGTGGATAGAATGTACCAAGCAGAACCGAATTGGGTATTTGTTATGTTGAATGTTAATTTTACTAACTTAGGGGGAGGATAGAAAGGCATCATACTCTGATTAGTGATTTCAGGAGAAATTCTTTTTATTATAAGAAGAGATAGAGGGATAATGAATGGGCAAAAGATATAAATATAATGATTTAATTAAGATGGATTAAATAAGATAGAATTGTGAAGAGTGATATGCGCTGCCCATGCAAAGAGAGGTAACTGGGGCCAAGGTACTTTACTAAAAGATTTTTTTATGTTTGTTTGTGTTTGTTTGTGTTTTATGAGAATATTGGGGAAATTTCTGTAGAAAGACAGGAAAAGATTTAAATATGTAATGATTTGTTTGTTGTTGAAATTTTTAATAAAACTTGTTCTAAAAAAAAAAAAGGACTATTATTTTTTCACACTCAATATTATCTATAGTTAGGGAGCAGTATATTGTCAAATACCATTTGTAGGGAGAACAGTGGTGGTAAAAGGTTATATTTCCATCTCCTGCTTAGAAGCATCTCAGAGCCATCTAGTTGCTCATTATAAGAAAGAAAAATATTGACTACTATGGACTTTAGCCTGATAAAAACAGAGCTGCTGTTCTTATAAAAAACATAGAAGGAATTAATAAGGAAAAAAAATCCTGTGCAGGAAACAGAAAGGGGTAGATTAATTAATTAGCAATAAAAGACTGTTTTTAGCAGCTTCTGCTGTCATAGTGAACAATTATAGGGTAAAAGCAAGAGGAAGCTCCCAATTAAAGGCACATTGCCCCAGTGAAACTCTGATAACAATTAACTAATCCATATTGAAAAAGCTAGCCCTGGAGATTTTTAACCTCTCAATGTTGTAATTCAGCAGCGAAAAGAAAAATAGAAAAATGGGAGAACTTATACTGGCCTGTTCTCTTTCATTCTTTCTCAATCCTATTAAATGAAACCAACAGAGTGATTAATTGTAAAACAAATTTGATGTGGAGTAACGATGTGCTTTTTTATCCTGCTTACAATTTACATCATAATCATCTTAGGTAATTTGAGACATTTCCAGTCAAAATTCATTTCATGGCTGTATATACAGGGCATATATACCTTCTCCGTGGTGGCTCCCTCTCTCTGGAACATCATTCCCCCAGAGATTAGAATGGCTTCCACTCTAGCACTCTTTTGGAAGGCACTGAAGACCTGGTTTTGCTAGCGAGCCTGGGGAACCAGAGCGGGATGGAGCCCATCAAATGGCTACTGTGATGTGCTGTTGTCGGAGAAGAGGGTGGGAGTTGGGGGATGATTTTTAAAAATTATTTTTATATTTTCCAGATTTTGTTCTTTATCTACTTTATTAATTTATTTGATTCTTTTTATTAGTTTTTATTGTTTTTTATTTTTATTTTTTGTTTTAAATATGGTTTTACATTGTGTAAGCCACCTCAAGTCACCATGGGCGAATAGGCGGCAATATAAAATAAATAAATAAATATACAAGGAAGGGCATTTCTGTGGATGCCACTTCAGTTATGTAAAGCAGTACGTTATCCAGTACATTAAATGTTGCATCTTTATTACAGTTTGTACCTCAAATATATGAAGTACAGTACATCTGTGTGTCTGGGCTGCAAAAATATGGAAAAGTATAAGATGGCAGAGTTAGAATTGTTTTTTAGTCGGTTTGGTTTGGTTCATAAATTGTCTTGCTCTATCTTCAAATTCATTCAATGTAGAAACTCTAGTTAAGATAGTTATTTAAGAACTATTTAAGATAGTTTTTGAGATTAGAGTAAGCCAATCTGTGGAAAATGTAATACATGAATGTTGTTCCTTTAAGTTGCTTTCCTGACTTCAAAACACAAGCATTTCCCCCCCTGTTTGGCGGTAGTTTGAAAAAAGGATTCCCAGTATTGTAGGATTTCTCTCTCTCTGTGTTTGTATTTATTATATAATGCAATCACCTCCAAAAAGTCATTTGACCAAAAGTAAGTCTGCCCATCTCTTCAATTCTGCCACTTTAAGTTGCGAACTCTTTTGAGATTGATTAATGCCTGTTTCCTAGAAAGTAAACAGGAGACTGTAAGAAGAATATAAGGCAACCATATTTCAAGGAGCAAGCTCACAAAACATTTGAATAGGAGTTTGTTAGGCATATTTTGTGGCAATTTAAAAGGGAATCCAAAACAAATTTCTCCACTAGCTACTGTAAAGGATTTATGCTAACCTGAACTCTAAGAATTTAAGCAGAAACAATAGTTTTTTCTACTGATGATACTCTAAGAAGCAAAAGTGAAAATGAATGGACAGGATTCTATAATTCTGATCTGAAGCGTTGGTCCAAGTTTTCCTCTCTGCCTGAAAAGAACCAGGTATATATTTACAGCAAACACAAACTCACAGTAGTTCTGAAAAAGTCAAAGGATTGCAGTAGCAAATTGCCCCATTTCAGCTGATGAAAGGTGGCTCCCCAATAGAAAGCTAAAACAGAACTTTCAACAGAGTGAAAAAGACCTTGGAAATAGTTGATTGCAAACCAAATATGAGGCAGCAGGGTGGCATGACTGCAAAGAAAAGAATTTCAGTTTAAGGCTGCATCAACAAAAATACATTTTGCAATTTTGCTAGAGCCCACTGTAACTACATAGCCAAAAAGGCATTAAGAGTTGTTAACCTAGTCTTACGTAGCTTTTTCTTTGGTAATATTACACTACTAACTATCGCATACAAAACATTTGCTAGACCAATATTCGAATGCAGCTCATCAGTCTGGAACCCACATTACGTATCTGATATTAACACAGTTGAGAAAGTCCAGAAATATTTCACAAGAAGTGTTTTCCACTCCTCTACTCATTGCAGAATACCTTATGCCACCAGACTTAAAATTCTAAACCTAGAAAACCTAGAACTACGCCACCTTCGGTCCGATCTAAGTATAGTATATAAAATCATACATTGCAATGTCCTACCTGTCAATGAATACTTCAGCTTCAACCATAACAATACAAGAGCAAACAATAGATACAAATTCAAGGTTAATCGCACCAAACTTAATTGCAGGAAATACAACTTCAGCAACAGAGTGGTCAATGTCTGGAATACTCTACCCGACTCTGTGGTTTCTTCCCCAAACTCCAAAAACTTTAACCTTAGACTGTCTACTATTGACCTTACCCCTTTCCTAAGAGGTCTGTAGGGGGCATGCATAAGCGCACCAACGTGCCTACCATCCCTGTCCTATTGTTTCTTTCTTTTTTTTCCTTATATGTATCCATGTATTCATAGCTATGTTTTTACTTATACCTATTATCTTGTAAGCAATTGATAAACCAAATAAATAAATTAATTAATAGAAAGGAATCCTTCTACTATATTCGGTTTTATCCCATCTCAAGTACTGTGTCCACTTTTTAAGAATGATTCAGAGAAACTGAAGCAGATTCAGGAAAAGGTAACAAGGATGATTGGGGAATAGAAATTAAGTCCTGTGAATGAATTAGGTATGTTTAATCTTGAGAAAAGACAACCCAGTGGAGCTCTGATAGCGCTCTTCAAATACTTGAAAGGCTGTCATGTACAAGAAGAACAAAATATGTTATTTCTTGCCCCAGGGTACAGGGCACAGAATAATAATTTAAATTACAGGAAGACAGATACATTAGAAAACATTTCTTAACAGCAAGAACAGTTCAAAAATGGAACCAATTATACAAAAATGTTGTGCAATGTGTTTAATCAAAGGCTAGACAATCATATATCTAAAATGCTTTAATTTGGATCCCTACACTGGACAGAATGATCTAAATTACCCCTTCCAATTTATGTTAAGAGTTCAGCTATAACAATAAGGATTCATTTTCTATTTGCCAAAGGTAGGGATGATAAGATCATATGACCTTGTATATGTGGAGGAATTGATCATGTAAAATGATAGTCTAACCATGAAAGACTTTTGAAGTTAAACTAGTTTTAGCAAACATTATTTGAGTGTAGTTTCAAGGAGCTTCTGGTCACAGAGATTTACCATATTTAGTTCTCAATGTGGTTGTTATTCCCCAGGTAGAACTGATATATAATTTGAGGAATGCTCTTAAACTTTCAGTTCCTGCTTAATGAACAGGTGGTAGTCTTTGGATAATTCCATCTTCAGTGCCAATTTCATCTTTTCCTGTATCGTGAACCATTTGTGCTCTACAACAGGGCTGTCAAACTCCAGGCCCGCAAGCCAGATGCATCATGCGCTGGCCACACCCATGCCTGGTTTAGCGAAGGGGAAAAAAGTCCAGATAAGTCACATGATGCTGCCATGACGACATGAGTTTGACACCCCTGCTCTACAAGTAGTCCTTTACTTACGATTATTCATTCAGGACTGTTTGAAGTTATAGTGCTGAATGAAGGGACTTATGATTGGCTCCTGAAGTTATGGCCATTGCAGCATTCAGGTGGTCACATGGTGAAAATTCAGGTGTTTGGCAGCCTACCTGCATTTATGACCGCTTCAACTCTCCCTCACACCCATTTCCACTCATCTATGCTCCTTTGACCCTGCATATTCCACAGCCATTGTCACTCTAGCTGGCCTTCACCCGTGTTCTTGTTTCTGCTGCTGACAAAGCATGTTCAGCCTTGTCCTTGTGAGGCAGTTTCTGGTCACTGGAGATTGTCTTCCCAAGGTTGTGCATGGTAGTTTCCTCACAAGACCTAGGGAAGATGGCTGCTTCACAAAAGAACAGGATGGGCATGCCTTGTCAACAGTGGGAGCAAAAAGATGGCTAAGGTTAGCTGGATCAGTGGAGTGCAGAGTAGCAGGAACCTCGGAGTGTGGGATGCCAAGGGTGCCTGTGCCTGGAATTGAGCTGGGGTGGCTGGAGCTTCCTGAGACACTGTGAATTTGCATCATACTATTAGGGCTTTAAGGGATGTGGCAGCTTTGCCTGTGTTATTGGGGCTTCCCAGGAGACTGAATTTTCACTCTGTTGTTGGGGGTTCCCAAAAAAAGTGGGAATCCCCACTGTTCAGGGTGCAGGGTGCATGTTGAGGTAATTCCCTGTTAGGAGAATGAGAGCATACAGGGAGACGTATTGAGAGAACTGTTTGAATAACACACACACAGCACACAGATACACTGTACAGTAAATGTAGGTTTTTTACTTCCAGAAACGTTAAGCAAAGTTCAAACACAGTCCAAAGTCATTCACAGGTAAATCAGTCAGTTTCAGTCCAGGGATAATCCAATAACAAAGTCCAGTATCAAAAACAGTTCAGTATCAGACTTACATCAAATCCAAGAATATCAGTCAATTAGGAGGAAGGGCAATACTCTCCAATAGAAGGAAGCAGACTCACTCACACTCTCTTCTGAGACTAAGACTAAGACAACCCAGGTTTCTGGCTTCATCTTATGGCCGTTTGAGAAACCACACCCAATTACACTTTTAGGATTTTCTTAAAGAGACAGTATTAAAATGTCTATCCTGGTTTATATATTTCCAACCCAAATACCTGTTAGGTGACTTATATTCCTAACAGTGCAGGGTGGCCAAAAGAGCAGAGATGGGGAAGTAGGTGGTTGGGGTTACTCCCTTCTTTACCTTACTTCAGCTTCGGGCTGAAAGAGACCAAGCTTAGAATGGCTTGGATTGGGATGGATCCTTGGCTAACCATTGGCACAATTCACTTAACGACAGTTACAGGGAATGCCAGGGTTGCTGTCATGTGGACACATGATGTTGCACTTTATAAAAAACTTATCAGAGCTGAAAGGAACCTTGAAGATCTTCTAGTCCAACTTCCTGTGCAAACAGGAAACCCTGTACCATTCCAGACAAAATGGCTGTCCAGTCTCTTCTTAAAAGCTTCCAGTGATGAAGCACCCACAGCTTCTGGAGGCAAGTTGTTCCATTGAATAATTGTTCTGTCAAGAAATTTCTCCCTAGTTTTAGATTGGTTCCAGATTAGTTCTAGATCTTGGAGGGAGGGAGGGAGAGGGGGAGGGAGGGAGAGAGAGAGAGATCAAATTATTTTCCAATCTATCCATTTTCTATCCACTATCCTACAAGTGTATCTCAAATTTACAGATCACCCATCTCACTCACAGTTTTGCTTTTACAGCTTTGCTAATTGGTAAAGCTACTCATTAATTTGTTTACAATTTATACTATGGGCCTCTGTGCCCACAGTGGAAAGATAGTAGGCAAAGGGGGAGGATTAGGTACTTTTATTTCCACAAAAAAATGGAATCCTTCTCCATCCTTTGCATCTGGGAAATTTCTGTATTTAAACATATAGATGCACTCCTATTGCATGTAGATTGTCTTCCAGTGGTAGTTTCCTGTGGCATGGTACCCAATAAGGTTATTGATTGTGATTTCAGATCCTCATCTTGGTTGTGAAGCAAATATTCCCAGACTTTGAGTTTATGTGGTTGGTGGATGAAGCTAAGAAGAACTTGCCTCTTGAACTTGATTTCCTTAATGAGGGAAGGAATGCCGAGAAGGTATCCCACATGCTCAGATGCTTTGACTTCTTAAAGGTATGGTATATGGATAAAGGTATGGATGCTCATATATATAGAAAAACCTTGATTCAATGGATCCCCATATAGTAGGCTTGGAATGCTATGGACAAACTTTCAGGCCAGATGAAATATTTCTAGTATAATAGAAAAATTCAGATGGGACTGTTAGGTTTATGTTGACTTTACCACCACAAAAATCTGATGAAACTATGTTGATCATGACTTGCTCAATGGTCAGCATGACATATGACCGTAATTCTGGGCTCAATTACAGTTGCAAGTTGAGGATGACTTGTATACTAATTGAATCACACCCCTGCTTACAACAGTTCATTTAGTTCAAGTTACAATGGCACTGAAAAAAGTGACTTATGACCATTTTTCACACTTATGACCTTTGAAGCATCCCCATGATCATGTAATCAATATTCAGTTGCTTGGCAACTGGTTCATACTTATGACTGTTGTTGTGTCCTAAGGTCATGTGATCACATTTTGCAACCCTCTGACAAGCAAAGTCAATGGGGAAACTAGATGCACTTAACCAGGTTACTAACATATCAACTGCAGTGATTCACTTAACAACTGTGGAAAGAAAAGTCGTAAATGGGGCAAAACTCATTTAACAAATGTCTCATTTAACAGCAGAAATTTTGGGCTCAACTGTGGTTGTATGTTGAAGACTACCCGTAAACAACAGTGTTTTATTTTTAATAGACTCTGGTCTATTTTCAAATCTCTGAAAATCTTCTGCAGGGAAGCAGGTTTTCCTACCATTCAGCTCAGTCAATCTATCTGTAATTAAAACAAATTGGAGATAAACCTGTTGTCTTGGATAGCAATGGACATTTTCTGATCACAATGGTCCTTTTTCGAAAAGATGCATGTACTGAATATTTACAGTGCTCATTCTGTTGACCATGAGCATTACTTCCGTGGATTGCAAATGCACATCTTTAGGCAAGATATGTGTTTGTGACTTGCCGTTGTCCATTTATTTGAAAAGCACTGAGCCCAAAGTCTAATTGCTCACTAATCTTATATGGTTGAACAGGAGCTATTAGTATGGAACAGGTTGGAGTTCCTCTGGTAGGGCCACATATATAACTTGCATATATCTGGACAGCCACTATCTGGCAGCAAGGGATATATAATAGAGAAGAATATTTGTAGTTCAGGGTTGAAATGAGGGGTCCTTGATGCTCTCTGAGTTTGGTTGTTTTCTTGCAGAAATTTCTCTGTCCAAACTAGGCAACATCAGCAGTGGTAATGAAACATCTGCAAGAAAACAGCCAAGCTCAGAGAACACCAAGGACCACTCAGATAAAAAATTAGCTGTTTGCGCCAGATAAGTAAGCATCTGGATTTCAACAGGCTGGAAAGAGTTGCCCCATCTTTCTCAACCTGGCCCAGCCATTTTCAGTCTTGAACAGAGCCTGGAAATGCTCCACTCGGTCTTTTCCAGGTTGAATGCTGAAGCAAAGAGGCCTTTAAAGGGTAGAAAGGGCTGAAAGCTGATGGCTCATTTTAAGTGAATGTTTATTGCAAATGTTGCGCCTATGTCCATGGCTACTGTAACAACTTGGAGAGTGTGAAACAAATCCCCATGGAGACCGCCAATCACATCCTTGTTGGGTGAAAGAGCCGCTGCAGTATTGATTCAGGGAACAATTTAACAAATTGTTGCAAAAATGGCTTAATAATAGATTTCTCCTGTCCAACTTGTCGATTCTAAGACATTTTCATCAACACTAAAGACAGCAAGGGAGTTGTGTTATTGTGTAATTTTTTTTTCTTGAGGGTTGGGGAACCCTACGGCACAGCAGGGAAGTAGATTTCTCACTGTGAACCCTGTTAAGCTTGTAAAGCCAAAGATAAATTGTTTCCATGCACAGGCATTAGGGCCCAATGTCTGTGCATAATTTAAGACTGCCAAAGACTATGATTTTGTGCTTACAAAGTGACTTACAAAGCTTAGTAAGAGCCATTGGCTGTTGTTGTCAATTTTGAAATGAGGATAAGTGTCGATTTAGGATTAAAATAAGCAATGCCTTTTGGATCAGTGGATTTAAGGGCCAGTGTATAGTAACATCAGATTTTTTTTTTTTAAAAAAAAGAACTGTTAGCATTAGGAATCAGCATGTACTTTTTTAAAAAAGTGAAACACAAAAAGGAACTTAGAGATTCCCTGAGCAAGGTTAGAAGAAAACCTTTCTTTATATCCTCTGAATTATAGCAACAGAAATAGCTCTTAGACTTATATACCACTATACAATGTTTTACAGCACTTCTGAGTAATGCATTTCCCCCAACAATTTGGGTTCTCATTTTATCAACCTCGAAAAGATGGAAGGCTTGAGTCAGGCTTGAGTCAGAATTGAACTTCTGGAAATGGGCAAAGTTAGCCTGCAATACTGCATTCTAACCACTGGGCCACATAGCCCTACATAATGTATGTGGTGTATGTGGTGTTATTGGATATGCTTAGAGGTTCTGGAAATTCTCTGTGAAATAGTTTGGAGATTAAAATTGAAGAATTCTAGCTTATAGATTTATCATTTCTGCTATTTTGGAGCCACATCTTATCACCAATCATTAACAATACAAAACCCAACATCTAAACTGAAATATATCTGGTTCTTTCTTCTTTCTCAGTCCTTAAATTTCAAATTTCTATAAGGTTGCCTAAAACCCACTGAAGTCAATAGAATTTATTTCAGAGAGGCATGTGTAAGCAATGTGCTTTAAAGAACATGTGTTCTGTATTAATGTACATATAAATATTATATTTTGTATGCATGTGAAATGCCTCACTGTTATTCAGATAACTCCATATATATATCAGTTATCAACAAAAAGGTGTTCATTATGAGTCTGGGATCCATAAAGTATTTATACTGAGATCATAGTTTCAACCTAACCCTTTTAAAATATTTTATATTCTGAAACATTTGAAATTTCTACCAACAAACTGTAAAAATATTGCTTGACTGTCTAATTTAAACATATACTAGCAATTCTAATGTTGCTAATATTACTACAATTTATTCTGATAGCTCACATGATGAGCTAATGATAGCAATAATATATTAAAATTGAAAATGTAGTTTTGACAGTATTTCATTCTTCCATTCTAAAAGAGATACTTCATCAGAAAGTTTTTCAGCTTTCTGACAATAGATTTTTTGTTTGTCAGTAGGATAAAGGAGATATTTTTGCCTGCTTTAATGGTTGGAGGATTATTATTATTTTTTGTTGATTGATGTTCCAGTAACACTTAAAAAAGACATTGTATTTTCAGAGAGGGGCTTAATGATCTCCCAAGAAATCTCCTATTTGCAAAATGTTGTTGTTTGCTTCTCTCTGCCAATGGAGATGTAATAACTTGGAGGCCAGGAGCATGTCTGCCTAGCATCTGCACACAAAAGGAGCAGTAAGGCAAAGTATGATGGTTACTTTCTTAGATTACCATGATGCAAAAGAGATATAGTTCTTCTGTCTTTGATACAAACAGAAGAGCTAAAGTCCCAAAATGCCTGATGTGACTGCGGATTAACAGTGGGTGTAAATAAACCAACCCATGTCAGAGATTACTAGTAATGATTGTGATTATGATAGCCGTGTTCATAGAACATGTTCCCCTGTGGCTAAGTGAACTGTATTAACCCAATTGCATCGGATTTTAATACACCACCAAATAATAAAGTAATTATACTATAGTGGGGCCAATGACTAGACAACTACATGTTAGCCTAATGTGTCACATGAATCCAATCTTTAAGTGAGATTGTTGTTCCATCTTGGCCAGTAATATTTTCTTTGAATAAGAAACTTGCCAGTTTTTGAGGCCAAGTCCTGGATTCTTCAGACCAAGGATGCTACGCACAGAAATGAGGTGTTGCACATGCAGAACAAATGCTTTCCCACTGAATTTAGGTTGTCCAAGGCAGATCTGAATTGCATTCCAAGTTTCTGAAATCTAACACCAGCTTTTGTTTTTCCTTTACCAAACTGCAATATATTTACAGAATGGTCTGTGGCTGGGAATATGTAGTATTTTATAATTTTTATAGTTTTTTACAATTACTGTTAGTGAAATATTTCCAGTCTTGAACTCTCCTAACTATTTCCTGTAGCTACTCCTCAGGGGATGAAGAAAGGTTAATTTGATCTGGAATAATCTACTTACATATTCATATTTCCAACACAAAAAGGATCAGTCTGCTCAAGTGTTCCCATCTCATGCTAATAAAAGATGGTTTGTCTAGTTTTAGCTTCCTCTACTTCCCTTAATATCCTTCAGAGTCTTAAGAGTTTTCTGTTATAGGTTCCAAAAATTTATTGGGAACTTTCAACAAGACGTGTTCTTTTCATGGAGTTCATGGAAGGTGGACAAGTGAATGACAAGGACTACATGGACAGAAACTGCATCAATGTCAGTGAGGTAATATTCCTTTTTACTATGTCAGGAACCAATGAAGGTGAGCCAAAATGTGCTCTTTATGATATACAATGGTGACATCTGAAAGGTTTAATTAAATTGTGCTCTTTAATGTTGAGAATTCCCAGAATATAGGACCTTAAAAGTTAATGAAATTTGGGGAATAATACCTAAGGATTGCATTATTGAAAAGAATTAAAACATACATTCAGAAGATTAACCTGCAACAGAGTTAATCTTTTAAGTACAATGCTGTAATTGTATTCATTCACAGAAACTGCTAATTCTAATCATTATCACACATATATTGAAAGCAATAGTGTGGTTTAACTGTCCTTATGCAAATTGTCCATGGAGTAGAGACAAACAGTCAAGGAAGAAGTCTAAATTATGTTGTGGCATTGCCAAAACCAGTTGACTATATTAAGATAGATTGTCATGTTATATTTCCTGATTGCTATACTGTTGATGTAATTATTCTCAGGAAGAAGCCAGAAAAAAAATTGGCAGGTAAAAAAATAAGAAACTAAAGGAAATTGTATAATTGGTTGTAGAAACTATTTCAGTACTGTATCAGTACTCAATTTTTGGTTTATAACACGAAGTACATAACTCCTCATAGTTTTACATACAAATTTGGTGTTCAGATATAATTTCTACTATATGCCTCGCACCTTTACCCTAATTAGAAATTAAGAGATGTCACACTTTGTTCCAGATGCAGTCATATTTCATAGCTTGATGCATTTCTTGATTATAAGGGGCACGTGGCTGGCTATTTGTGATTAAAGTATATGTGATTTTTTTAGGGAAGAGGCTTAGTTTTATATGCAAAAAATAGGGCAAATTGAGCCTATCAGACTTGCCCTCCAAGTCAGTGAATTCTGATTGAATTAGTGCTGCCAGCTTTTTCCCCTGTGTACTATTGATGAGCGTCAAAATGCCATTTGGCTGACTAGCTATCAGAGTTCTCCAGTATAAAATCAATTGTACTTAATCTGTCTGTCTTTGAAGCCGCTATGCTCCCTTCCCATCATTTTTTTATGCTGTAGCAGAGGTCACTCAACTTCATTTATATACATTCCAGCCTAAATTCAGAAGGGAAGTCAAGTTACACATTTGTTATCTATTAAAAACCTACATCTATATATATTCCTACTTTCCACTAGAAGGAATTATTTGCAAAGGTAAGTAAGCACTCCCAAATTACATGAATGTACTAATTGGCAGTAATATAAAAGGGGAATTGACATGCAGAATAACTGCTTCACTGCTTCCCTATGCCTTTATTGCTTGCATTGCTTGTGTTTGTGCTTTGAGGCTCAATATTTGGGATCACAGAAGCCACTTGAGAGCAGGTTTAGTAACAACCTTTGTGTTGTCCTTGCCTAATTATTTTCTTTTATCCCTTATAAGTGGTGATTGTTCATTGCTATGCAGCTCTTTGGTCACTGTGGTAGAGCTGATTTAAAAAGAATTCTTCAGATTGGATTCTTTGTACCATTTTTTCTGAGTTGGTAGTTTTCATATCAGAGGACAGCGTTTTGTATGAACACATATGTTGTTAATATTTAAGTCAGTAAACTGGCTTGAAACTTTCTTATTCTGTCCTAAGGAGTTGTTGGAATTGTAGTCAAACATCTGGATCACAACTGATTTCTGCCTCTATTCTGAACTTTTAATAAAATGTTTCATACCTTCCTTGTATAAGTTCTAGATTTGCAGCATTTACCTTGTGTCCTTTTATCTCGGAATCTGAACACTGCACATCTTTATTAATAACCTCTTATTATTTTCATTATTAAAAATGAGGGTTCATGCATATTTACATCATAATTGTTTTTCTTAGAACTAGCAATTGATTTTAGACTGGAATATGCAGTATTTTTTATTTTAAGTTTACTTTGTAATAGGTCTTTCAGTGTGGCTTGTACAATTATATTCTAGAGTTGATTAACAAATGCTGTAAATTAATATAGGTTAACTTTATTCATGCTAAGAGATTTTTTACAGTCTTGCTATGAGAAAATAGGAAGCTTTTGGCAATTCCCAAACTCCCAGTGAGGGTCAAATAATATGATTTTAAAACAATATTTTTTAAAATAATAACATCAATCAAGATTGGAACTTTGTTTTTAGGTGAGAAGTAGTGAACTTACCTCTGTGTCCCACTTTTCAATCCCACTTCAAACTGGGAATGTGGAGAGAAAGCCCATTATTTCTAGCTATTTCTCTGGTACCAATAACAGATCCCAGTTATAAAAAAAAAACAAGAGGCAAAGGTTAAGGATCCCAACCCCTTATCCATAAACCTTGACCTCTTCCTGCTGATCATTTACAGAAAAAGCATCCAGCCTGTTTTCCATTGTTTAACTTAAACCTGATTATTTGGGTGCATATTGAGTTAAATTTGACGATAACTATGTAGGCAAATGTTCATTATTTTGACTTGTTTCTGGTAATAATACTTTCAGGAATAATCCTGTGATGTATTTGAATGTTGCCCTACTTTGCTTGATTGGTATTCTTGCATACATGATACTGCTGATAGTTATCCCCACATCCGTAAATTGTAGGCCTCTCATATTATTTTCTTTACTCTTTCTCAGACCATTGTTTTAACTATTTTGATCTGGTCGACAAGCCATCTCCACCTTTGTGATTTTATCAACCTTAGCTATTGCCTTCTTTTATCACTCTGTAATCTGGAGCTCAGGAAAACAGACTTATTTACCATTTTCACTTTTTGCCATCAATTGTAAATTGATTAACAGTAAGCCCATAGTTTGACATCACCAATATTTGTCAAAATTATGTTCTTAATATAATTCTAGTTCATTGTAAAGTTTCCTTAGAAAATAATTAAGGAGCTTGGTTTGCCCTTTATCCAGAATATATTTCATATTTTGACATGATTTACGCAGTCAAAAGCTTTGCCATTGCCAGTGAAGCAAAGAATTCAGCCTTCAATATATTGTGAATTTTGTTTTGTGTCAGCCATCATATATGTGGCCAATAAATTATTGTTGTTAGATATGTGCAGCAAGAACTCCACTCTGGATCTTGCTTATCTGATCTGATTATCAAAATTTCTAGTTTGTTCTGTATTTAATCTCATTATCTCTATCTCCATTGATAGTAGCTCTGTTCATTTAGATTTTGTTGTACATGTTTTGTACTTTTAGGAAAATATTAAATATTACTGATTACTAATGCCCATGAGTACCATTTGGTTGCCAGAACCGTCCTACAATATTCTGCTGCCATCAGTTTCTACAATCCTACAAATATTTTTTATGTTTTGTGCTGGATTCAGGGTTATTCATGCTAAGCAACAATCATTATACCAATAGTAAAAAAAAAGTAAACTGAATTTGCGCAGCCATATGTGATCTGCATTTATAACTATACTCTTTTTCCTTGCCTGCCTGTGTAATGATTATGAACTGGGCATGTCAATTCTTCAGAGCACTGTTTTCAAGCATGTTTGTTTTCTCTATAAATAAATGATCACCTACCCTTTGTTTTGTCTTTCTGAAAATCCCAAAGCAGCCCTCCAAATATGAATGGAGTTTTTATTTTATTTATTATTATTAGCTTTTTATTTTTAAAATGTATTGCCCTCCCCATTTTACCACAGGGTAGCTCTGGGTAATTTTTTTTTAAATAACTGGGTAAGATTCTTCTTGTTAGATTTGGAGGAATTTTTTATCCATTGGGCTTTAGAAAGCCACATCTGGAATTGAGGAAAAATGATCTGACACTCCCATAATAGAGCATATTCTTCATTATCAGAAATCCTTTGAAGTATGCTTACTCCACTAAACTAGTAATGATAAATTTCTTTTTCAGCATTCCATGAGACAAAATTTGGCAGGTGACATAGGGCATGGTCATGAGACATGGAGTTAGGCAATTTTAATGACATCATTATATAGAAAGATAACATTTCTCAGATTCAGTGACCACAGGTTTTCAATAGTCTTGCTAGAGGATAGTAGGAAACCCTACAGTGTTTTATTTCTGTCTTCAGGCACACCAGGTACCATGTAGCAATAGTGCAGTGGTGGCTAATGTTTTTGGGCTCCTGTGCCAAAAATTGCCAACACCCAGAAGGCACTGCGCACGCCCCCCCATGCCCCCTGCGCAAGCACGTGCGATCCCCCTGCTGCCCCCTTACCTGCACTGTGCATGCACGCACCTCCCAGCTGATTTTTCACCCCGTTTGAGGCCTTTTTTGGCCTCCCAGAGGCTCGAGGGAAGCCTCTGCAGCCACTGCAGGCCGAAAAATGGGCCCGTTTTGTCACTTCTGGTATTTCCGGAAATTATAGGAAGTGACAAAGTGGGCCTGTTTTTCGGCCTCTAAAGCCTCTGGGAGACCAAAAAAGGTCTCAAATGGGCCAAAAAATCAGCTGGGAGGTGCATGCATGCGCAGTGAGGTAAGTTTGGCTGGGGCTCGCATACCCACACAAATGGCTCTGCGTGCCACCTGTGGCACGTGTGCCATAGGTTCCCCATGACAGCAATAGTGGGAGAAAACTATTACCTTCATGCATTCTTTGTCAGCTTCCATGATTAATCTAGTTGGCCATTCTGTGTAACAGAATACTGGATTTCCTAGTTCCTGGGTTTAATCTACAAAATTCTTTTTACGTACTTATGGAAGAATGTAAAAGAACACTTTGATTCAAATTAAAGTATCTTATGTTTATCAATAAGACATAAGATGGAAGAACCATTAGCTATACATTGTGTCTCATCAGAAGAATAAGATGCTATTTTTCCACAAAGTCGTTCTCGATATTGTAATTTTCTTTTTATATTTTATTTGGGGTAGCATACATAAATGCTATTATCCCCTGCAATCTGAAATATTACATTTCACTCAGCTATTTAAAAATATTTCCACTTTATTTGACTGCAAGTGTTGACTACACCAAACATTCTGCTGTTATGAATTTAGAAATGGATTTTTTCCTCAATCAGTGCCCATCAAATTTGTGAGCAATTATTAGCTGTAAAGTATCCTAAGGTCTCAGGCAAACATTTTTGCAAATGCACAACAAATCTATGTAATGTTGTACCAAACCCCTCCCCCAAAACCCTATTGGATGGTAACCTTCCTAAAGAGTAAGCCCTCGGTTTTTTCTAACTAACTTTTCTATAAAAATTGTATAAAATTAATACCGGGTGTAGCCCAGTTGTGATGGGGAGCAAGCTGACATGTTCAGTCACCTACATCCTTCCCTGCCTTTGCTAATTTCACACCAGTGTGACTGGGAGCGCCTGCACTGGTGGATTGTTTTTTTTTAAAAAGCAACATGTTTACTGATCCAATTAACCTTCGATTAAGGTTTTAAAATCCACACTATTCTTTTGGCCCGAGGAGGTAATATCAAGCCCTAAGAAATGAGCTACATCATGACCTTTACTTTTAATGAGATCAATAGGAGTTAGTGTCGCCATCCCTTAAAATAATTGGCAAATATTATGGCTGAATTAGAGCCAATGGTTAGCATGTTTTCTAAATTGGAATAGACAGGAATAAACAGACATGTTGGATCCCATCCTGTACCACTTGCTCCATGGTCAGCAGGGAGATTAAATCATTACAACATCAATTTGATTCCAGAGAAGATTCATAATCATATAGCAGGTGTGGTAAACAACTATATATGTGCTCAAAACAATTGCAATGTTTGAAGAAAGGTTGAAGTCAAGTATGTAGATGTCCGCATATATCCCATTTTGGCCATATTGATCATTGTTCTAGAATGGATGTGTTGTAAATTTAACAAAAGTTATTAATTAATTGTGTGGATGGTGCATGACAGTTTTATAAGCCGTAACTGTGGAAGAAAATGAGTGATTTCCAATTTCGTGTGCACAATGGAAGGAGATGGTAAATTTTGAAATTATACAGAATAAAACAAATAATACTCTGTCAATGTGTTAGCATTGGTACAAACTCATATGTTACATTCTTTTTCCTTACAAAACCTGGGTTGAGGCAGTAGGTGGGATGGATTGTTCAGAGGTAATTCTCATTACAACCTGATCCTACTGTAGATTCCTTGGTAGAAGCTCTGCTAATGAAACTGCATATATAAACAAATTATGTTTGTAGTGGAGTAGAAGTAGAAAAGATTTTAAAAATCAGGTACTCAATTTATTTTTCCATTGCTTTATTCTTATTCTTTATTCTTTTTCTTTCATTTCAGCATATGTGAAATTCAGTTTTCTTTACTTCATGCTGATTGGCCAATTGGTCCAGAAAATTAAATGTTAGAGCTGCCATTTCCTAATTAAACGAGCATTCATCCTTTCATTAGTACACTGTAATATTTTGACATGCATCCTTTTTTTTTAACCAATTGGATTCTGTTCATGCTTGAAGGCGAACTCAGAAGAAGTAAATGCAGTCAAATACATTTGAGTCATATTTTATTGGAAAATGTTATTTTCCAGTCTCTGGCAGGCACAGTTTTACAGTTCATTTCAGATAACACTTTACCCATAGGCTTTCACTCAGATTCACAACTGTATGTGGATGGTCATGCAACAATATCTGAGCAAGAACAACATACAACTTTCCTCAATGAAGTATTTTTTACAATTATATTTTTCATCTTCTCTGGCAATTCACTCATTTGTAGCTATTCAAGTGCAACCCTTACTAAATAAGGAGATTTATAGGAATATTTGGGCAACCTACTTTTATGTACACTGAGAGCATATGCACCAAGACAAATTCCTTGTGTGTCCAATCACACTTGGCCAATAAAGAATTCTGTTCTGTTCCGTTCCATTCCATTCCATTCACCCCCACCCATATTGCTTATCTACACTCTGCTTATCTACACTCAAAGTGTTATTTGTGATTAATTTTGATGAACATGTTTACACTTCTGCTGGCACAATTCTAGTTCTATCCAGATGAGGGAAAGACCGTAATGCTTTCTCGAAGTACACACACATGTTGTTTGAATGATGCCATTTTCTCTTGTATAAAAAAGGAATTAGCCAGCTACCCCTCTGCCATTCCAATAGGTGGTACTGCTCTGAACTAGGTGATAGTCCGATGCTTCCTGGTATTGTTGCTTCTCGGGGCCTTGCATCTCCTTCTTCTCTCTACAGATCTCTCGCAACCTAGGAAAGATATACAGTGAAATGATCTTTGTGAATGGCTTTGTGCACTGTGACCCCCATCCTGGCAATGTCTTGGTGAGGAAGTGTCCAACTACAGGCAAGTCGCACATTATACTTTTGGACCATGGACTCTATCAGGTATGTAGCTGGCTTGTCAAACAGACGGAAAGATAATGAAGATTGGTTTTGTCATTAAGCAGCAACATCTGACCACCTGTGGGGAGAAATATTTTTACTATGGCAGAAAAGAGCCAGCTATTTCCATGAGGTGCCCTTTCTGCCAGCAGGAGATAGATATTGTAGTAATGCCAAGAGCAGCTCAGCCAAAAAGTAACTGACCAGACTATTGGAGAGACGGGCTGGACTAAGGTTGGGCAAATACAGCTCTAGACTGCACAGGAAAGAAAGCAGTGTTAACATTTCACCTGGAGTTTGAAGGCAAATTTAGGATATAAGAGATGTTCTTGATTGAGAGATTTGTTGATTGGAGGCTACCCATATATATATGGATAGCCTCTCTCTCTATATATAAATGTTTTAAATAAATACATTTTTAAATAAATAAGAGATGCCACACATGCTCACCCAATGCTCCAGAATTTAAGTCAACTGTCCATGTTGGTATGAAACAAGTGACCCAGGCCATTTAATTCTTCAAGAACAATCTGTACGTGAGTCCACAGACTGTTTAACAATACTTTGTGCCATTGTTTTTCTTAAGGTCCTGACAGACAGCTTCCGCTTGGATTACTGCCGACTTTGGCAAGCCCTGATCAAGGCAGACATAAAGCAGATTAAAAAATACAGCCAGCGCCTGGGAGCAGGTGATCTGTACCCCTTGTTTGCTTGCATGCTTACTGCACGTTCCTGGGCATCAGTCAACAGAGGCATTGATCGTTTGCCCGTCACAAGTAATGAGGTACATTTTCTTGGGATTAAAAAAAGGGTGACACACAAAAATGTCATGCTGAAGATTCACTGCTTATCTCAGATAGAATAAGCCTGGCAGCTTACATATTACACTGAATCTGCTCTCTTCTAATTGCCCAATAACAGTTTCAGACTGAGGACCAGCATTTCCAAAATTGGACTTGGGGTTTTCTGCATAAAATGCATACTGCCTTTCACTGAGTTACCAGTGTAAACTAGCTCTTGTGCTATATTTTTAATAAAGTATAATATATAGTGTAATAATTTAATATTTAATATAGCCTTGTGCTGTATATTTAATGTAATATTTTAATATAGTATATACATATATATTTAAAATATTTAAAATATTTTAATATAATATTTTAATGAATGAAAGTGAGTATACATGTCCCAGGATAATGTTACAGGATCTAGTCTGAGTTGGTCACTGGGACCAGAAGTTTAGTCTTCTGGCCTTTCAGATTCATGCTGGAGCCCATCTTCAGGGAACTTCTCTCTAGCAGAGTGTGTGCTTCAAACTATTCTATGTGTGGTATTTATATGGTGTCTGGTTGTGGGTGGCTTTTTAGTTGTTGATTAGGTATTGATGGCTGACTAAAATAATTTTTTAATGTAGGTATTTAAGGTGTCAGGCTTGGACCAAGGAAATTGGGGTCTAAATCTCAACTCAGCTCCGAAACTCATTGCATGGCATTAGACCAGTTGCTTCCTTTGAGCAAAGCTTCTCTTCCTGTCTTGTACAGATACAATTAAGGGAGACCTCCTATACAAGCTGCTCATTAAATGCAATTAAATAAATAAATGCCATCAGAATTATCATATAGGAAACTCAAACGTTCTTTTTAAAAAGGGGACATAAATCAGAGATAAAACAAATGCTTTGTGTAATCAAAAAGTTTTCAGATTTTGCATTTACCTTTGAACCTTGGGTTCTCTAGGAAATATCCCTGTCTACTACCTTGGAAATCTTCTGCTGACAGGGCTCAGAATGTGAATCTCTTCCTTCCTGATCTCTCCTACATTTCTGATCTGATTATTCCAGGATGTAGAAATCCGGACCAATGCTGCTACTTACTTACCTCAGATCACTAAGCTTCTCAGCAATGTTCCTCGTCAGATGTTGCTGCTGCTGAAGACCAACGATTTGCTCAGGGGGATTGAATCCGCCCTGCAGACACGGGCTAATGCCAGCTCCTTCCTCAACATGTCTCGCTGCTGCATACGAGCTGTTGCTATGTAAGTCCCCATTCGCATAAGTAGGATTCTTTTTTTCCCTTTTTACACAAGAAATCCATAAAAATAAAATAATAAAAAATAAAATAAAATAAAAAATCCATAAAAATCAGAAAATAAAATAGAGGCTGAATAATCAAGTCCTTGTTGATGATCCAAACTCTGTCAAGGACCTTGGAGTACTCATCTCTAATGATCTGTAACTACATAGCCAAAAAGGCATTAAGAGTTGTTAACCTAATCTTACGTAGCTTTTTCTCTGGTAATATTACACTACTAATGAGAGCATACAAAACATTTGTGAGACCAATACTTGAATACAGCTCATCAGTCTGGAACCCACATTACGTATCTGATATTAACACAGTTGAGAAAGTCCAGAAATATTTCACAAGAAGTGTTTTCCACTCCTCTACTTGTTGCAGAATACCTTATGCCACCAGACTTGAAATTCTAGACCTAGAAAACCTAGAACTACGCCGCCTTCAGTCCTATCTAAGTATAGTATATAAAATCATACATTGCAATGTCCTATCTGCAAATGAATACTTCAGCTTCAACCATAACAACTCCAGCAACAGAGTGATCAATGTCTGGAATACTCTACCTGACTCTGTGATTTCTTCCCCAAACTCCAAAAACTTTAACCTTAGACTTTCTACTATTGACCTCACCCCTTTCCTAAGAGGTCTGTAGGGGGCATGCATAAGCGCACCAACGTGCCTACTGTCCCTATCCTATTGTTTCTTTTATTTTTCTTATATGTATCCATGTATTCATAATTATGTTTTTACTTATACCTATTATCTTGTAAGCAATTGACAAACCAAATAAAATAAAAAATAAATAAGGGATTTCCTGTCATTGATACATTTAGATGTTGTCTTTTTCTCTAATCCAACAAGTTAAGTTAGCCATTTTAGCAAGTTCCATTAGCTTCACCAACCTTTCCTCCATTACCAAATCTCTCCATCTTTGTGCATGTAATAATCTCAGTTATTATATACAAGACAATCTGTTTTTTTTTCCTGTTACCCAACAGTCTCCCATAAGTAGAAATCTGAACTATTAACTGATGTTGTGATTCCTGTTTGCAATGACTTTAAAATGCAGAAGTTACAAAAGTCAGCTTGGTGCATTTTTCCATGCAGTAAACAATCGTTGTCATAAAAATATTTATTCATTTTATGCAAATATGTTCAAAGAGATATTTTGCTACATGAGTGGGCATTTATGAAGTACTTCTCCAAATCATTAAAGTAGCTATTCCCAGCTATCTAAACAAACATGTAGCTATTTCACTTCCATTTTTTCCAATTGAAACAAAATGGACATGCCATGCATATGGAAACAGCTGGGACCAACTTACAAAATAGTGGTGTGAGTTTGGAAAAAAGCACAGCTGCTTCACTGATTCCAATGGTTAATTTGTATATCTTTCATATTGTTGTGAAATGCCTCTTTCAAAGCATTTGTCCATTCATGATATTTATTATCTGCTGTTGTCTTGAAACAGCATAAGGAAATTCAATTAAAGTGGAGAAAATTGCTTACGGAGTTGTAGACATAGCATACCATTCATCACTTGCAGAGAATACAAAATGGGGCTTGAGGGTGTTTGGTTCTTTCTGTGGAGGTATTTCTGTTTTACCTGTCATCTTCATCAGTCTTGTCTCCTCTCCTGTTCACTCTTACCTGTTCTCTCCATCCCCACCTTCAAAGTAGTTCTGAAGAGTCTGTGCTTCCTCTCACTGGTTTTTTTCTACACAAGATTAATTTCTTCTTCTCCTTTGTATTTATCTTTGTTGCACTCATTCTTCTTATAAAGTATGGAGTAATTGGAGAACTTAATGCAACGGTAGATGAAGAGACACACTTCGAGTCTTATATGAGAGGATTCTCCAACCTTAGCAACTTTACGAGTTGTGGACTCCAACTCCCAGCTATTCTGTCTGAGGAATTCTGGGAGTTGAAGTCCACAAGCTGTAAAGTTGTTAAGGTTGGAGATCCCTACCATATGAGAAGAGCCATTAGTACACACTACATATGTTGTACTCAGCTGAAATTACAAAATAGTTTGTATTTTAGAAATGGTTCCTTTCTGGGGGTATTTTATTGTTACTTTATAAGGCAGTTAATGCATTTCTTTTTGTGTTTTGCTCAGGTATCAAAGGAGCAAGAGTAACTCGCTGTTCAGAAAGGCTCAGATATCCCTTTCTGAGGCCTTGAGCTTGTGGCAGATAAATCTGTATGAACGGTTTCTATGGCTGAAAGTGTCCAGGCTGGGAAACTGGGTCATTGCTTTCTTGAAGTGGATGCACCGTTCTAAGTAACTGAACAATGTGAATTTCGACGCTTTCCCAATGGTAGCATTCACTTCTTATTTATTTTTCCTGTAGTGTTTTTGGTATTTCTTCATGTATACTGTATATGGTGCTATACATTCATTGTATTTTGCAGGGTCATTTTTGTAAAAATAGGAGATACAAAATGGCAGCTAGAACTAAAAGAAGCCAGAAACTTGCATTTCCAAATATAGTTCAGGGGAAGTGATAGGCCTTTGAAAGTCCTCCAGGTAAAATCTCAATGACCCAAATTAATTTTTATAAGGCCATTTTTTTTTAGAAAAAGGGGGAAATTAAAGTATGGAACACAATTTTAAAATCTGCAATGAACAGTGAGCTTTTAGTAGTACTTTATGGTCATCTTCTCCAAGTTTTACTTTACTGTATAGTCTATGTTTTAGACTATAACTACAGTTAGCCAGTAGGCAAATATTAGCTGAAGTTCAAACCATGTTGAAAATATCAAGTTGAGTAGGATTGTCCTTTGGGTTTCTTGAGCTATTGTACTACATCAGGGGTCTCCAAACTTGGCAACTTTAAGACTTGTGGACTTCAACTCCCAGAATTCTCCAGCCAGCTATGCTGAAGTTAAAAGTCCACAAGTCTTAAAGTTGCCAAGTTTGGAGACCTCTGTACTACATGATAGTCATATTAATATATTCTCATCTCTCCTGAAAGATGTGAAAACAATGGACAAGGAACTAGAGCCAGGATTATTGAATAGAGAGATTTTTTTGGGGGAAGGAAAGCTTAGGGTTGAAGATCTGTTTTCATAACAGACTTTTAAATTGTGAGTTTGGGTCATTTTTTGTATATTCTTTTTTTGTCATAATCACAGAAATATGAGCCTTGTTTGAAATGTAGAGAATGGAGGCAATGTTAAATAACAACTTATTGTTTCAAGAATTCATTTCCAAGTCAAATATTCATTATGTATATATTTGTAGGGGAAATATCCACTCATTTCTTACACAGAATGCAAGTAATACCCCTCCTCCCCAAATAATTCTATTTATTTCACTTTCCCTATGGAGAATTTTTTTTTATTAAAACATAGTAAATATGATATAAAATGTAACATGGTCATTGAGGTTATTATCTCAAAAACCTCTGCATAACAGAGGTAACAATAACAGGTATTATGTCAAGGTTGGGATATAATAAATTATTAGCAAAGTCTCAACTTTTATAAAAGTGGTATGGGAACGTAAGAATTATTTTATTGTAGGGAATAGTGGCCTTTTTCTATATTAATAAGGATACAGCTATTTAAATAATTATTTTCAACCAACTAATGTAAATAAAACTTTATACATAGAAATCTATGTTTAATTATATTGCTGTGTGTGGCAGAGTATTTCTTGTTACATTTTTAAAAATGTACAGTAGGTTCTTGGTGAGATCTTCCATGGGATCAGAAGAAAATTGTACAAGTCACGACAAAATTTTAATCACTATTTCTTTAAATATAAATATTAGGCATAGTTGTATCTGATTGTAATGTCAGCATTTTATTTGCCAAACCATGAGCCTATTAATTAACAAATGAACTGCCAGTTACCATTCTAGTTTTCAAAAATGTGAAACAAAATGTGTTAAAACTTAATTGGAGCATTCATTGGATCCTGCCTCACTCAGTTCCAGAATAAAATATCTGATTCATAACTGCTGGAATGTGGAACTTATTTACTCAATAATGTCAATTTCAATAAAATCCTTCAAAACATTCATTCTTTGTTCCATCGTGTACATTGCCAAGTATCTCTCTTGTTTATTTGTTCATTGTACAAACAAAAGGTATACGGGGATAGCCCCAGGCTCAGCTTGATCTTACTGTTTTGCCAAACAGAACAGTGTGCAGTCACGGTTATTATTTATTTCTCTTCTGTCCTCATGAGTATAATACAACAGTGTATCACTTATACAAGGCTTAGGAGGCTGCTTTGCACAAGGTCAGACTATTTGTTTCTATGTGTGCTCTCACCAGTTCTCCAGGATCTCTAGCTGAGACCTTTCCTATCTCTTGCGACCTGATCCCTTTATGCGCCCTGTGATTATGAAGCATCCACCATTTTTGAAGTAGGTGCTGCCAAAAACTGATAGACACCATCAGCAGGTCAAGAATAACACCCTCCATTACTGCAACAATGGACTTCCAGTTCGGAATGGGACAACTTGCCTCAGCCAACTCACTGTGGCCAGTTCACCATGGCCAACATGTCACGGGACAACTCACCACAGTCAACTTGCCATGGGACAACTCACTATAGGACAATTTAACAATTCAATTTAATTATTTAAAATAAACAAAAGTTTTCGTCATTCACATTTCATTTTTGTCCCTCTTTTTGCATCCTTTCTTTAATTATCTATTCCACCATTTCTTTGATATTAGTTTAACTCCTGCCCTGCAGCAAATTGTCCCGTGGCGAGTTGTCCTGCTGCAAGTTGGCTGCGGCAAGTTGACTGAGGCAAGTTGGCTGTGGCAAGTTGGCTGCAGTGAATTGTCATAGACCTTTCCAGTTCCCCTATTGTGTTAGAATCAGTGCTTCCAGACTAGGACAGCAGATATCTGTGTCCACAGATGAACTGCACAGCAGTTCTTCAAACCTAAAGGATTATCATGTATACCAGGGCTTGATCCAGGGAAATTTTGAATGCAAGACCATACTTCACCCTAGAATATGACCCCATTTTTCTAACTATTACCTAGCCTTTAGTGAACATTATCTATATGTAAAATGTTGAAATGCCATTTAAGGAAATTGGAGATTGGAATATTGTTGGGAAAACTAGGAGATCTAAATGGGCAGAAGGGAGCATATCCTTAAAATGGCCTGACAATTCCTAACAAGCAGCAAAATGGTCAACCATTGCTCATTTCTCCTAAGGGAGATATTTCCTAGACATTTATTTCATGTCAGGAAGATTTTTTGAACTAGAATTGCTCTATCAATTGTTTTGTATTTGTATGAAATTAACTCACTGTATGGAAATAAGTGTAATTTTGATCATTAATCTCTAATTTTCTATTTTTAGTTACATATTTAAAAAGTGATTGATTCTATACGTTTGGTCCACTTCACGTTTTGGGTCAGACTAGTCAAAATTAACTTTTTTCTATTCCATGTCTTCAAATAAAGGGATTTCTTTCCAGGTATCTGTCATTTGCACAAGTCTTTGAATTCCAAGGTTAAAATTCAAGGGAATATTTTATTTAGAGTGTGTCTCTATTAACTCCCTCTCCTGGTCAAAGAACATTATGTCAACTGATGTCAAAAATAAACATGACTTGCAAGTCTTGTTTGAAGCGTATTTCTGATGACAGTGCAGTTTTTTTTAAAAAAAGTAAGCCATTCAAATTTTCATCAAAAGTCATTTTTAAGAGAGCTTTTGGAACATTTCATAATAGTATTTTCCAACTGTAACTAAGCTGTAAAATAATCACACAGTCAACATTTGCTTATTTATGCCTCCTTTCCCTTTTTATTTTCTAAATCTGCCTCACGTTGTAAATCTCAGAGACAGTTTTATCAGAACTTTTCTCACCTTCTGTACAGAAAGAGTCTCAGTGAAACTCTTCCTTAATTATGCCAGGTATAAGCTGAGTGGGAGAATTGCTTTGACAGGTTTTCAAGACTAAAATCAAGCCCTGTGAGGCTCATAAAAAACAAGAACCACTTACATTTTTGAAAAGATTTTTATTGCTAGTAGGGCAGTATAACAGAATGTTGAAAGCATTTCTTCCACCCAATTTATACCTAGCATAATTAAGACAATATTGCTCTTTTTCTCACCTTTCCCTCTTTTGGGCTGGCTGTCTCTTTGGCAACAGTCTCATTTCCTCCTCTGTCTTCTTGGGGTCTATTAGGCTTCTTACTATAGGTAGCACTGCAAGCACCGCCACTTTTCTATCTACATCTGACCCAAAGTGCCAGAGTTCTGCTGTTTCATAACTCTGAAAAAGGCAGCAAGGCCATGCACGGTGACTCTAGCCTTTCAGATATTTTCAGAACTTGCAAGGCTTGGATTTTCAGGAGGGATGGAGTGTATTCCAGAGGATTAAGAGACAGCTCAGTTCAGATGGTTTGTGCGAGAGAAAGAGGGTCAAGACAGCCCCAGTTAGTATAGATGATGTAGATAGCAGTGTGGTTTAGCTTGCCAAGATTCTTTCTAGAGGTGTGGAACTGTAAAGAAATCAACATGGAAATTACTGTGTGTTTTTCTCTGTTTTGGGAACCTGACAAAGGGGAATGGAAGTACAAGAGTTGGCTATGGTAACTATGGCATTCTAGACATAAGATTTAGCCATAATAACTAATATCCATTATTAGTTTTAAAAAAACAATTCTAATCTCCACTTAAAACTGTTTAATTTGGGGACATCATCAAATTGTAGATAGATAACCCCACAGATTAACTATATACTGTGCAAAGAACAACCTGTCCTGAACCTCCCTCTGTTCAGCCTTGTTGAATGACCCTGAGTTCTATTAATATAATGGCAGGAGAAAATGTACTCTCTGCAACCCATGATTTCATGTATTCCTGACTTAATATACTTTATTAAATATTACTATATTTCCAGTTTTGCACATTGCATTTCTAGATGTGTATAGAGAAATTAGCACAGAGAAGGTCACAACCCATTTACTATCATTCCAGAGTACAGCACAGGGAATAAGGGATTTAAATTACAAAAAAGCAGATTCTATCTGAACATTAGAAAAACCTTTCCAACTGTAACTGTTCCTAGCTTTCTAACTATTTGATAGTGGAACCAATTACCTAGAGAAGCAGCGAAATCTCCTTCCTTAGCTGTGTTCAACCAAAGGTAAAAAAGTATCTGTCAGAGCGTCTTTAATTTCCATTCTCGCACTGAGCACAAGATTGGATTTGATGCTTTGTCCAGCTCTTATGTGACCCTTGCTTGCCTCCAGTTCCTCATAGTAGAATTTCTCTATCAATTTTGATTAGACATTCTATCA